CTGCCAGTGAGCATTAGTCTGCTCTGTTCTACATAATTTCATTTTCTGATATTATGCAAATTGTATATCAATTTCATTATCAATGAATTTGTATGACACGACATATATTATCTTTTATGTAATGAAAAGTGATTTGTTATCCTAAAGAAGTCCTTACCTTATCTACGACAACATGTCATGACTGTAGGCCGGTCATAACACGGTTGGTTGAAATGTATACGTATATATACATATCTCGAGTTCCTCCGTGCTTCAGAAGGCATGTTCAGCCTTTGGTCCTTGCTACATCTGCAGTCGCTAACACCCACCAATCAGTACTGGCGCCGTGTGATGAGTCATGACTCATTCTCTCTATTCGAGTCCTCCTTTCATAGGATAGGTCGTTACCCCATTTTTTGTCCAGAGCCAAGATTGCTATATCCCTCCTTCAAAATAAGCGTACTGCACAACGAATTTTATCGGGCCACACTTTAATCTAGCCCCACGGAACTTAAGGCCTAATTTAACATAAGTATATATATTTAAATGACATATCCGTTACTTTTCTGGTGCGGAAGCTTAAATTGGAGAAAAATATGGAAAAACAACATAGCACAAAGAATAGAGACATAACATAATTATTACCAAAGACTTTAGATATTTCACCATTTTTGTGTTGCATTGTTGTATAAAATTGAGAAGGCACCTATGCAAGATTATTATTTTGTAATTTTGACAATAGACAAGCAATCTATAGTAAATTACCTAGCCTACAGGTTTCATTATTACAAATGGAGAACGGATTCAACTTTTTCTGTACAATGATAACCGTAACGAAATGGAAAACTTCAAGATACATTATTATCAATCAAGATACAACAATCATCAGTGTTGAAATTGCATTATGCCCGCTCTGTACATTAGCCAATATGGCGATTGAATTTCACCAATAGTTTGGTGAACAGAAGCAAACTGAAGGCATTTCAACGCCATTACAACTTGGGTCAGTTATGAATTAATGTAAAAACATTTATTCAACTTAACACCCGTATCTGAGGTTTTGATTTCTGGGTTCGATTCCCATTCCTCAAGGCATAGGATACGTCTTAACTACGACATTTAAAATTTTGAGTTAATAACAAAAGCAGCAATCTACACAAATATGTTTTTCAAATACGGCAGTCTTCGTTCAAGCCTATCATAGCCTAGCTTATTGTATGATGCCGATTTTTAGAACGTGAAGGTAGGCTTGTAATTTTAATAAGTTTAACCTACTATATATTTGATCAATTTGCATTCTTGCACTGAAAATTTCGTCAAAAATCCTCTTTTTCCTAAGTATCCATCTCAGAGTACCAGGGACAAAGTGGATTTTCAAGCACTTTTCATTTAAGTTTTTTTTTGTGTTTTTATTGGTTTTTCATGTACTAAGTTCTATGAATTATAAAAAAAATACAACAGATACTATAGCAATTTAGTTCATCCCTATTCTATTAGTCAGTCAAGAAAAAGGAAGAGAAATCCAGAAAATTAAAAACAAAATGTGAAGATACTGTGATGAATTGTCTTGATACTTGTTTATTACCAATTACATGTAAAAATAGGGTAATTTCGCCTGTTCGCAATCGTTATTTAGTCTATTTAAAAATTTAATATATAATAGATATATAGTAATTTTAAAACTAACATTCAGTTGTTTTTTTTTTCGAAACATCTTGGGTTTTTTCAATAAATAGACAATCTTGGGAATTAGCGGTTTTACCCATCTTGTGTCTTCAAAATCCGGATAGCTTCCACCTGTGGACCATTTTGCATCCACCAGCTCCAAAATGGATAGCAGTGGTGATATTTTTAGGATAATGTAAAGGTTGAATTTTAAAAATTTCATTATTTAAGAATATAGTTGTTTAAAATCACTGTTGTTATAATTAGTATTTTAATTAACGACACGGTATAGGGCTAAAAGACAATACTTCTTATATTAGGTTTATTTTATATTAGATATCAGTCAAAGAAATCCTATGAAGATGTGTTCAATAAAGCTAAATAAAATAAAGCTATTAAACTTCAAATCATAAATATTTTATTTCTAAACTATCGACTTAAGCAAAAACAATAAGTATATATTATGATATTTATAATTAATGGTAAATAATGTGGCAGAAACATCAAGCTCTCTGCTCCGACAAGTGTCTGTTGAGTTTTCCTACGTAGAAGTCTCTTGCTATGAAAATAAATAAATGTTCGCTGTTCACACGCTATATTACCAGTAGCATTTAGAAACACTGGCTAAATAAAAACAATGAAATGGTAAACCGAATAATTCAACCGAATATCCGGTTCGGTAAAGGTTAAACCGAATATTATTCGGTAGTTGGTTATTCGGTGAAACCAGTATTCGGCGCACCTCTAATTATTATTAGTAAATCGCTCGAAATAACATAAAAGATCTTATTTATTCTTATCACCATTAATAGAACTAAATTAAAAAAAAAACAAAGAAGGTTTAATATTTCATTAAATCATCTTAAAAATATTACTCTTACATCCCTTTTTCAGACTTAATGATGATGATGATATTTTTCTTTTTATTTTCATCAAAAATTCTTGTTGGATCACTCAAAATATTTTTTGGGGAATGCTGTCCAAATATTCATCTAATTCTCTAATCCAAAATCTAATTGACCCTTCTGTGACTTGGGCTCTGGCATTATTAAAATACTATGCGTATTTTAAGTTCAATTCCCAATTTTGTTCTCCCCAATTCCCAATTTTGTTTCAGGATTACGTGAATATAAACAGATTCCATTCGTAAGAGCAGTACCTAAGTGTTTTAATTTTATCGCAATGTATCTCGTCAAATCTTGCAAATGAAGTTTTGAAAAAGTTATCCTCAGTTGGTCAAACTTCACACACATTTACTCTAGATGACAATGCACAGTAAGCTAAGTGATATTATGAGGTGCGCCCTAAATGCGACTTAATATAACATCAATCATGAGAGTAGGTATACTGAAAAAAAAATGTAGGTACTTCGTGATTGGTTGACATGACAAATAGTTGGCTAAGAAAAAAAAAATTTCTTCTTTTTCAATATAGTGGACCACCGAAGATGGTGGACTAGTTATCTTTAAACACTCATAGCATGGGTAACGAATGAAACTGTTAGCCGAGAAGATCATTGTCAAAACATGATTTCATTATATTTATTTATTTTAATTCTTTTCATTACAAAAAATAGATAATCTTAGATCTCACAAAACTATATTAACAATTTGACTGTAGGTGGGCTAGGAGTCTCGTTTTGAGTTACAAGTTACAAGTTGTTGAGTATAATTCCAATATAGTATTATATAGACAATATATACCCTTTTTTTAATAATGAGATCATTACATTTTTAAGTTTAAGCATGCTGATTTCGTACCTACATATTCCTCTTAATAAAAATTTATGAGCATTGTTTTTAAACCTTAATATCATTATAGCCTTTTGTATGCAAACATCAAATATAATATTCGCCAGGACACGTAATAATCTCTATTAAAAAAAAGTTACCTCGAAAATTCAATTTTATTGAATTTCTTATAATTATAGCCTTTTCAATGGAGAAAACCATTTAAGTAGTTTTTTACACGCTAATTTCAATTTAGTGTCACCGTCTCTGAGGTCCTGGGTTCGATCATGGTTGGGTCAAAGTAGAAAATAAACTTTATAGGTACTCATCTTGCAATCAAAACGATCGTTATGATATTTTCTAATAATTTAATATTATATGTGATTGAGAAATTTACCTAAAAGTACTTTTGACTTTTTATTCCAGGCCATGCCATCTTCTGAATAAAATTTTTGCACTTACTGGCCTATTGATTGGGACTTATTGTCTCTTAATCTACATACATTTTATAGTTTTTAACATCTTTTTAAGCAGCAACTATGAGTACGGTAATGAACAGAGATTCTTCATCTGAAAACCTAACCACCAGGCTGTAAGAGATCATTCCGTTCCTTTTAACTAACACATTAAAAACTGATATTTGCAAAGTTCGAAACTTAAATATCGAAAAAGTACAAATAGAATATGAGTTGTTTATTGAGTATTAAAAACTAATTTACTTTTACACATGAAAGAACCGGAAAAGAAAAGTAATAAGTTCATTATTGACATCATAACCTGAAAATTTTATATATCTACCTATATACTACCGTGGCCAAGAAGACAGGCCAAAATTTTAGTTCGAGCTTAAATTAAAGTTTTAAAAATTACCCTGCCCTCTATTAAACTTGTAAAAAATATTCTATCAGGCATGCTGTTAATATTACGTTACTCGTTCATATCAAAAGTTTTAGATTATACTCAAAGATGGCGGTATTACTAATAATTTTGAAGATATTTATTTTCTGCTATTATATTAGCCTCTGCTTAATTATAATACTAATAAGCAGAAAACAATATATTTGAACAACAATTTAATAAATAGGATATATATATAATTGTTACGATTGTAAATATTAACGTTCATTACAATAAATGGTTGTATGAATGTAGATTCCTTTGCCTGTAATTGCAATGTCAATAGTTTATGTATGCCACTATTAGATGGCAGCACTCTTATCTGAAATCTTCAAGGTTTAGAGTTTCCATAACTGGTTTTTAAAGGTCGTAAGAAATATTTGTCAATGGAACTACACAATGGACACTTTCCACTTGTCATGACCATTTTTTTTATTGATATTCAACCATAGATTCAAAACTACTAAACTAGAATATTTAACATTTTCATTATTAAAGCTGGTTCTCCCTTACATGTTTCAAGATAATAAAGTCAGTGTACAAATGTTCAATAGTTTATTCACAAAAATTGGATTAAAAACCGATAGCAATATTATCAGTTGACGTTAATTTGCCTACGTTCGTAATCGCCATCTCATCGTTCGTCTGCCGTCCGTACGTCATTGGCAGTGAACGGAACGAAGTGTCGTCGTATAGATCGCTGGCTGGCTCTGAAAATAGTGAACCGAGTTATGAGGTTTCGAAATATGTTTGAATAAAAAGTGAATTTAATAGTGAGATTAGTGAGTGACTGTCATCCAGCAAGATGGTTGATGATGTGAAAAATATTACGGAAACCGCTGAAAGTAAAGGTATATGTGAAATTACAGTTGAAACGTGCCATTTTAGTGTAAAATGTGTTTGAAAAATTCGTCTAACCCTAAACCGTGTCGTGGCCCCACGTCGTGCTATCATGCATTTCGTGAACGTCTGTGATGCTAAGCCCGATACAATCCAATGTTTTGTTTTTCATCTTTATTTGGACGCCTTTTTCCTGTCGTGGTATGTTCTAAAATTAGCAAAATAGTTGCCAGACAGCAGGAATGTGGTGCCGATGTTAGCACACTGTAAATGTCATTTCGGTATCTACAATTTTGGCGATAACGTTGTCATTTATACCGTTATTTCTCCTTTTTACTTTCCTATTGCAGGATTTGATGTTTATTTATCACTATATGAAGTAGTTAAATGTCTAATAACAGGTCTGAGTCACAGGTTGAGTGATTACCAATGCATTGACGTACATGCATATACACAATGATTGTACAACTATATTATACAGGCAGCTGTTCACTGTCTCTGTGCAACTTTCTTATCAATCGATATGGATTTAAAAAATATTAAAAAACACTTTGACTTTGAAGAAATGACCGCTTACTGGTGTTAGTAGATATTTTATGATGTTTCTAGATAACTTGTTATTGCTATTGATAAGTTAATAAGATTATTATATTATTAGCACTAAGGACTTATGATGAACATTATCATCTAAAAGTTCCTTAATTATAATATCCTTAAATATATATTGTTCAGTAGCTTTTTAGCGGCAGCCAATAACCTAATTACTTTTTAATTATATCTATTTTTTATTCAACCATATAAAGTGAACTGTCTTTTTATTATACAATCTTTAGTTAAATAACATGACCGGAATTAATATGGAGCTATGCCTAAAAAAAATATTCATGTACATTGACATACTGTGGGTTATATAAAGCATATAAGTATACCTTTTCAATATCATAAATTATATTATGTAGTACTACTTTACTCTTTTCATAATGCCAATGCTTAAAATATGTAAATACCTCTTAGAAATGCCTTCTTAAGAAAACATAGTATTTTATGCCATATTTTGTCGCATGTTCTAGAAAATTGTGATCAGCATCATATATTTTAAATGTAATTTTTACAAAATTTTAATTGATATTTTGGGCAGGATCCTGCCATGTCCTTTATACAGCACAATTATAATATAAAAATTTAGAATGAAGATAAAATAAAATCATTGATTTTAAATAGGTTTTTTATCTTTTTATTTGCTATCTCATTTGTTCATATTACAATAACAATTCATGTTAAGAATATCCATGCTATGTAAGCTCTATTTCCTTATAATATTTATTATTCAGAGCCATTAATTTGCTGTTCGACTCTTTGAGTCAACTCTTGCTTCTGCTAACAGAATGGCAATATAATAGAAATCACAATAATAGACATTTTAAATGACAATCCAATTTAGATAAGACCAAAAATTAATGTCTGTGGGTTAAATTATTTTCTAAAAATTACTAAAAATAAACCTATGGAGATAAGACTCCTGTGACCTAATTGTCTAATTTTTAAATCAATCACAATAACATTCAAACATATAGCGATTGTGATAGTAATTTATCGAATTGTGTAACTTAAATTCACAATTGCATTTTGAATGAATGATGTAGAATGTCATAGATAATTCATTCCGTTACATTTTTTAAAGTCGTATAATAATTATATTTACGATTTCATATGATTCCAATTAATTGTCCTATCCAACTAAAGAATAAAAATATTTTAATCTTTTAAATGATATAATAGAAAGTTAAATCATTTCATACTTTTGATAATTACAATGTTTTATTTCAACATAAACATAAACAAAACCATTGCATTGTGCTAACAAAAGCATCAAGCGCATTTTTTGTCAGCTATAGGGATGAATCTATAAAAGTAAACACAAATACTTACTAGATACTTTTCTTTCGATGCCAAATATTTTTGACATCAATACTTTAGAACCGAGTAGTAAGTAGTATCATGAATTAATATTTGTATAGGTACTTGGTCGGTTCTGAGGAGTGTAAAAAAATTGCATGCAAAAGACTGTTTAGTTTGTGTTAAAGTGCCTAAATTCTATCTTATGAAAATGTCCCACATTCGCAATGTCCTTGTTATATGACTTAGCATTACTAATTCCTACAAATTTTATGCAGTTAGAAATCTTATCTAGAGGAGTCACTACCAACAAAATTTTGAAGCAATTCCTAACTAAATACTTCTATATGCATAGCTTTTATGTCTAAACCTACTTCTCTTTCTTGAGAAAGTGCTTTATCTTATATTTTTTTCTATTTATTTGATCTGATGATCAGATCAATATTATAATTTTTATAATATTGGCTCACATTTCTCTTAAATGATGCAACACACACCAAACATGTCAAGGCAATCAATGAAATCAGTGTAGGTGTTAGAACCAAATATGTAACAGACTTTATAAATCATTACGATAGTATATTATAAAATAAAAACGAAATTTATATTGTGAAAAATTATTGACATAATGTGGATAAATCTCTTTGGTTGAATTTACTATCTCAGAGGTCCTGATTTCCTTCCTCATCATGCTTAAATAAAGAGATCAAATACCAAGTTCTGAATTAATAGGGTAGATGCACCAGTAGCTTACCAATTAAGCAACATTTTGAGTTTTGGTAATGTGACATAGTTACCAATTACAACAATCATTGCAAAAAAATCATTGTACTCTACAGCTACCATATAATCTTTCAATAAAATAGTATTTCAATAAAATCTAAATCAATAAAGTTCGCCCTCTTCTAAATAAAAGTGTTTCGGGCCATGTTATGTTTTATTTTTAATCTTGAAGTAATCAAAACGAGATTGATAATATCTTACAATTGTCCGACTTGATTCTTTCTGATTGGAATCCGACCCTATTTACAAATCGTGCATACCTATGTTCATTTAACTTTTAATCGGCATCTTTATTCAAAACTCTCACCAAAATTAAATGTCTAAAATGTAAGACAAACCATACATCTACACTTTAAAGTGAAAACTAAGCTTTTTTTTTTACTATAATTGACATTTGAAGATTGCAATGAGACGTTGACGCTCATTGAGAGCAAATAAAAAGTGTTCTTTCGAAAGTACGGTTTTTGTTCAAGAGATTGACGTTAAAGTCGACGATATCACAGAAAATGTTCCGCTAGTTACAGTTTTTTATAAAATAAAGGTTAATGTAGGTATTTTGTAAACATCTTCAAGTGTGGGATAGATGTTCCGATTTTACAGATCTTAGTCCCTAGTTATGTAGGAATATCAATGTGTAAGTCTACTGTCTTCATCTTCATAGGTTATAAATTTAATATTATGTGTGTCCAACTGTTTAACACCCGTTTTAGGTTTAAATTTCTATTATAATGGCGTAAAAGAAGTTTTATTCATTACCATTTTTATTGATGGCGTCTCGTTATACGAATAAAATAACTTCAAGGTGGTTTTCTATGCTTCAATCTTCTTGTGGGTTAGTAATCTGTGTAGGTATATACCTAATATATGCAAGGTATGAATCACGAGAATGTAAGTTGAGGTAAAAGAGAATGTTTTTTTCGGTACTTTATTATGAAAAAATCGAAACACTTAAAGAAAATTTCGTCATAATTTCAGATCTGAATTCCCCATTTCAGAGATTTGTGTTAAAAAGATTGGTATGATTTACTTAGAAACACTATTGCAGAGCCATAAAACGCACTTTAAAAAATAAAACGCTGTAAATTAAAACAGGTAAAGGGATGTTTGTCCTTTCGGTAGGGTACTTTGGGGTAATCACAAAAGCGGGGAAATTTCGATAATGCAGTTAAACAAGCGATATGTTTGTTCTATCTTATTAAAACTTTTTTTATCTAGTAAAAGTCTTTTTACTTGTCAACTCTATGTGACGTGGAATTCGCAATTTTTCAAGATTTGTTTGTTTCCAGTATTAGTATGCCTAGTAGACGAATAATATATATGAATATCGTGAAAATCTAATTAATAATTTTGTTATTTTCTATGAATTATAAGCCACTCGCCGAATAGACTGAAACTGGGACTGATTTGCGGCGGCGAGTTTCGATTCCGCTCAATAGACACTTATTTCATTAAAACATCGGTGTTCTAAACGTTTTAATACTACATTGAAGTTTTTGAATCAAACAAAAGATGTAGTAATACAAAGTCATGGGAGAGCAAATGTCATACAAAGAGGGAACCCGTTCGCGTTCCCGCGCTAATTTCACGGAACAGTTTTGTTGTTTATGATCCACCGTATTATTTATATCGAAATAAATATTTTTACTGCCAAAAACTCCTAAACAAAATATGTTTCTTTCGCACCTATGCCAAACCGCAACAGTAATCACAAATTAAAAATAATTATTCCAAATAGATTATTTCATAGTATGAATTGGAACGTAACTTAGGTATGGGGTTGCCTGTTTTTCGTAATGCACTTATGTGTTGCTACATAAATTATTAAATATCTACCAAATGTTTTTCAAATCAAAAAATAAACATTTCGGTGGCATCTAAAAATACAATAAAACTATCATGTGTGAGGTTTAATTAGTTTGATTAAAGCCTCTACAGAAAAAAAAATGTTCTTTTCTAATCTTAATTCATCATCATCAAGCATGCAAAGTGGAGTCGTGTCGTAAGTGTAACAATATAGGCTTATTATTAAACCCTCTTTAGTAGTTAACCCAAACTGTTACTCAAAGACGTAATTAATAAGTATCTATTAATATTATAAATATCTATTCAAAAATTGACTTAATTTGTATCGTCTTTAGTGTTATAAGGTTTTTGTTAAATAAACATTAAATTTACATGACAACCCTTACGTGCAACATATCACTACATAGTGTAAAACAAATGTCGCTTTCTCTGTCCACATGTCCATATGTATGCTTAAATCTTTAAAACTTCGCAACGGATTTTGATGCGGGTTTTTTCATGGATAGCGTGATTGAAAAGGAAGGTTTTT